CCCCAAAACCCCAAAACCCCAAAACCCCATAAGCAAAGATTGAATATAAAAACTTTAAGGGAAATGCTACTCTGTAAAAATAATATTCTGCAGAAAATATTAAATCATTTTGTAATAATACCTAAATGAAAATAAAAAAATCAGGATACAGTATTCACTCGTTTTTTATACTGGGACTATTTTTGTAATTACTTTGACTAATCATTTATAGTTATGATTTAATAATTTATACAAAAGCAGCAGCAGCAAGCACATGCTTTACAAAGTATCCAAAAATTATTCAAGGTGATTACTAGAGTGAAATTCTATTACTAGATATTGACTATGTGTAAAACGTTGCCATGGTCATGAAAATTTAAGATCCATTCATTACCTATGTCGGATTAACTCCTAAATTAATTGCTAGTGTAACTTCAAGTTCTGGAGTTTAAACATGGGCAAGAACAATAAGTAGCAAATATACCTAAGCCCATTCATTAGGATTCTCTTTCTTAGGGACTAGAATACTCATAACTTTATCAGATGACACTTTTACATAAACTGGCTTTTTTATGACAGACTTAGATGGAATTAATATTTGGAGGTATTCATTTAATTCATTAATAGGTAAATTTGCCCCTTTTGGTGTAGGAGTTGATAGAAGGTAATAAGTGTTTATTGCATTCACAAATAATAATAACTTAATGTCAATGCTTAGAATCGATCTATCACAATTCTACTCAAATGCAAATTTTGTTCCTACCTAATATATTTCTTACGAATAAGGATTTGAAAGCGCTTAAGGACTATTAGTGTAGCAATATTATGACAAGCAATTAATATTAGGAAATAAATAAGACTCTAATACTGTCTATTAGATTGACTTTACAACTGGAAAGTTTGAATGGGTTATGACAATTTATTAACCTAATCTAGTGCTTAAATCTTTGAATCTAAAGAATTTTACTGATGGATCTAGATCAATTATAAGTTGTGGAGGGGACACATCAGCTGTTTATATACTAAGAATAAATGAAAGCTCCTCGTCATCAAAATCAAATATATTGTATTCCCCTGAATTCTAGTAAGTCTTAACCTAAAATGTTAAAATATGATTTAGTCAATTGCCAAGTAGCTATACAGAATGCCTTGCCGTTTACCCTGATTCGAACCCTCTATAAATTCATTTTATACTTTAAAATACTTAGATCAACCCAATATCAATAGGTAAAAAATCTTAATTTTAATTAACAAAATTTATCATTAGATTATGTATTACTTTAGTAAGATCTAACATTAAAAGTATATCCCATTAGCTATCTAACTCAAGATTGAAGAACAATTATTAATCAAGCACTTTGGAAAGATTATTAAATTGCAGGAAGTGCTCCTTCCTTTTTATTTATAGGGAAGGCTTTTGTACTCGGCAACAGTACTCTCTATTTCAGTAAAACTAATTAATTTGGGTTTCTAACTAGATTTAATCCATCATCAAATACAGATATTTTTCCATTGCAATAGTAGCCATAAACTATCTCAGTGACTTTAACTAAAATATAGATTAGTAAAGCCATCATAGCACCTACTTCTACATTGACTTAAACAACTACTGTTTATTTTGAGACAGACTTAACTTCGAAGGTCTTGAATAAAAACTTTATGTAAAGTATAAACACTACAAGCATTGGTACAATAAGCTTAACTGTATAAAATTAAACTATATATTAAAATGAGTCTAGCAAAACATTTAAGTTGATCCCATCTATTGTATCAACATGTTCTGATCTTGGATATTACTTTGAAGTGAAATTATAAGACGGCAGCTCTATTCCAGATTCTATCTATATTGTTAATGACAATCTTACTTTCAATACTAGCTAGATGAGTCTTCCTAGTACCTATAACCTTCAAATTAAGATGCTAACTAATACTTTATTTCAATTAACTACCTATATGACTTTCAAGTACATTCATGAATGTTCAATAGCAACAGTCACAAGTTTTAATGATCAGACATTCCTTTATACTCTAGGTTCTTCAAATTCTATTCTATTTCTGACTACAGCCTCAATTTCTAATTCATTATGTACCATAAATTATGTTGATGTTTGGGATTCCAATAATTTAGTTAAGTCAAATATTACTTTTGATTCTACTTCTAGGAAAATATCAATTGCTCAAATAAACATACTTGGCAGCTATTAATTCTAAGTCAATGCAAGTGTTAATGGCTACCCTTATCAATAATTTCTAGTAAAAACAATGACAATAGTAGTTTAAAGTTCATGTAACTTAGCTACTGGTAATTACCAATCATTCCCAATAGATGCAATACAAGATTATATCATAAACATAGACTAAGAAATCCTTGTTTCTACACTTGGCTGGACCTTTTCTGATAGTAACTGTGGAAATATTCTTTATAAACTATTTTACAAAAATGGCACAACTTTTACCTCCAATATTCTTTACTTTAGAAATAATCAACTCTTCTTAAATGCAATTTATTAGAACCAAACTCTCAACGAAATAATAATAGTCCAAGGTTACATACCAACAGATAGCAATTTCATCTAATAAGCGTTCAGCTTAGAAATAAAATATTGCGATACGAGTAAGGGATTTATTAGTAATAAGGAGTTAACAGAAATTTGGTGGTACACTGATAATAGTTTATATACCAATGAACTGCCTCTGTATTCTAAAAATGACACTTATTGTGGTTAGGTCAATTAGAGTTTCATAAATACATATAATGATTTTGAGGACTACTTGACGTATTTTCCATCAACGAAGACTTTATAGTTTAAATCAAGTAATAATTAATTAGAGGGATCTTTTCTCATGGGTATTTATGTTACAGATAGATAAAGTTCCAAAACTTATGATTAAGTTATATATATATCCTCTGGATGTGGAGTTACAACATTTTTCACTATTACTTAAATATCTGATAAAACTCTTTAGAAATACTTAAGCTTTTCTATTTCTGAGAATATAGTCATAGAATACCAAGATTAATGTGGGACTCTTAATTAGCTATATCAAGTTTCGTTTACCCCTTATAGTTCATTGGAGAGTAATGTTACTCAAATAAATGGGGAATTGTAACTAGAAGGTATCGATTTTAGCATTGATAGGGAGTAACTAAATGTGTAAATCACTAATTTTGATGCTTTACTGTCAAATGAATACATTTTTAATGTAACTGTATCACAGTCAGTTAACGAGAGTTATGTCCAATCAATGGCATTCAAGATAAAAATAGAAACTGATTGTAGTTTAAACTAGATTTTAGGAATGAATTAAACTTATGAATTGACTTATGCATTCAAATCTCCTGCAATTAATCTTGGAGATCAATTTCTCACACTCTATGATGGAAGTTGTAATAATTTAGAAATTTCTAACTATACAATTGATTCAACTTGCAATATTTAAAATTTCACATTCTTGAATGACCTCATATCTTTGAACTAATCAAGTCATAATTTAACAATATTTGGAGAAGGACCAGTTATAGATTCATGCTATTTAACCTATGTACTAATTGGATCAGTGGGAAACTCTGGATTGACAAATACCTACATTTTAAATCTGATTAATTGTGAGAGCATTTCAATATCAAAATCAGAAACTCTAACTATAGAGTACGATATTGGAATGCTTTAAGCGTTTAGTTATGTATTTTCTTGGACGTTTCCTTAATAATGTGGTCAAATTTCATATCAGATTGAATATTTCTCAGAATAAAAAAATGTTGAAGATATCTAATACATAATAGTAAATGACACAGGCTTGTATATTAATATAACTGATAATAGCAATATTGGCTAATTCTAGTTTCAAGTAAAAAGGGTGTTTGCTGCTATATACGCGCCAACCCTAATTAGAGTAAATTTAACTGTGATAAATACTTGCTTAGCATCATAATTTTTACCTGATCAAGACAATTATACCTTTTAAACTAATGAGACATTCAATATAGCATTAAATATATCGATAGTACCTTAAAATTGCTCTAATCCAAGTTACTAATTAAGATTAAATGACACAACTGATTTTACAGGGTATCTTATTGTTAGCAATACTTCATTAAATTTAAGTTATTCCCAAGCAATGATGAGCAATATCCAGGGACTGAATAAATTCACTTTAATTGCTGATTTTGGCAGTGGTATAATTAGCAATAAAGTAATTTATGTGAAGATAAAGCTTGATTGTTCTCATCAAATTATATATCCATTAGGGAATAATACAGATATTTATGATTATTTCATAGGTTAAACAGTAAATTAGATCGAAGCAAAGTATGAATTTCAATCAAATTTAGATTATTGTGGAGATTTGGTTTAAGTTATTAAGAGCGATCAAATTATAAATATAGATTCATTTGTAAATTTGACAAATTCATCTGCTTTTGTTACAATTGATGAGTCAAGTTTAAATAGTACCGTCTTTAATTTTTCCATTAAAGCCTCAAATGATTATGCTTAGGGGATTAAGAAATTATCAATCAATTTAATTTCTTGCTTCTAGTCAATTAATTTCACACAAACTTACAGTATTACAGAGGTTTTAGAAAAAACAAAAATTTCAATAAATTTTGATCAGATTTTTGTAACCCAAAGCTTTTGTCCAGGCTAATTAAATTACACAGTATAATAATTAAGTAATGTGAATTATAAAATCCTTAATATGAGTCTTGTCCCTATTAGTAACAATCAAACTTTTGTGTTAGAAATAAGTAAACTAGAAAATGAAATAGTGAGTTATGATGCACCATATGACCTTAATATTTGTGCCAATCTTAAAATGAATAATTCTACTATAAACTCTTGCCAAAAAGTATCTGTATTGATCTTGTAAAATATTACAATTTCTAATATCACTAATGCAACTAACTCTAATAACACTTCAAATACTACGAATTAAACAAATGCAACTAACTCAACTAATTCTACAAATATTACAAATACTATATAATTAAACACTACAAACAATAATACAAATATTACCCAAACTAAAAATACATTTGGGCCACTCTTTGAAAAAGATCTAGAGAATCTTTAAATTTAAGTAGGTGAAAAAATTCATTATGAATACCCTAAAATTATTGATGAAGACAATGATTAATTAGAGAGTGCGGTGATTAAATTCGGCAGAGCAAAGAACTTTATTTCTGGCTCATTCCCAAACTATATTCTTAAGCCATCTCAAAGTGATATAGGCAGCTATCAAATATTTATTAATCTGACTGATGATAATCCAAGCCCCAAATCTTCATTGTATTTCATGCGAGTAAGTGTGACTGAAGCAAGCAAAAATAGCACCAACTAATCAGATTATAGTGACAATAGCAATCAGACTTTATAAAATGAAACGATAGAATTAGGTTAATATGACTAAAATACAAATCAAAATACATAAAACTCAAAAACTTCTGAAAGACAATTACTAACAGCAAAAATATCTTAGATTTCCAACTCTGGCGAAGTAAGGGTAAAGTTTTCACATCTAATTGAAATCCCAACGAACTACAAGCAGATTAATAACTAGACTCTGCTACTTGAATTATTTGACTATTAAGGTGAACTCCAAAAGTATGGACATACTTGGTCCTTAATTCTCTTTGACAATTAGGGTTTTACTATTTAAATGTAATTTTCTAGCCCTTAACAAATATCTAAAAATGTAAGTTTAAAGTTTTCTTATACTTGATTTAGTAAGATCTTGATTATTTAAAAGTAACATTCAAGAACAACCAATACTTTAAAGCAAAGGAATCTAAGCTTCTAATTGCTATGAATTATCAGATGAAAGCATTAGTACCAAGAATGCTAAGACAAGATAGTAAAATAATTCTAAAATAAAACTGATATCATAGAACTATCCTAGATTATGAGTGAACAAAAAGAATTGCTGACTACTACTATGAATTCACTTACATTTGGGACATTTGCGGTTAATGTTATACTGTAACTCAACTTACAATATCTTGATTTTGATTAGATCTGCAGGATTATAGTTAATATGGAGTTTCGTCAATTCAATATAGTTGATTATAAGAATGAATCTACTCAATGTAATGATACCATCGAATTGCCAAACATTTTTCAACTTCCTTGTGGAAATATCAAACTTTAACGTCATTCCTGATGGAGGAGGATTCATCAGTGACAATCTTTTTTAATTTACAGAAACATCCTAACCACCAATGAACTTTATATTGATGGATATCTTTTGAAAACTGCTACCTTCGTAAATCAATTAACTTATTACGTTATGGGACCAAGAATGTGATTCCAAATTTAGGTTCAATGTTTGCTTATTTATTGGCTCTATTACCAGTTTATTTGTTTGCGATTTTTCTGAATTTCTTTGTAATTTGATTAATCTTTAATTTTCTACTAGAAATTTGGTAAGAAAATTTCAGGAGTTATCAACTGGATTAATAAGAAATTGTTTCTGAGTTTTGTTTTGAGAATTATATATGAAGGCTATGCTGATTTATCTTTTGATTGTTTGCTAAATCTTGATGAAGTACTTCTCATAAATTTAATTAAGCATTTAGTTCCATTATAATACTCCAGGGGATTATATGAATATCACTATGACATATTTATTACTAGCTATTAGTTGTGCCTTTCCATTTATTATTCTGGGAATATTCTTGAAATACTTCTAGAGACTTCATGAACCTAAAATCAAGCAATATTTCGAGAGCTTATATTTATTTACCAAAGTATCCTCAAGATGGACAGTAGCTAATACCTTTATTTAGATTTCTAGAAGATTTCTCTATTCCTTTATCGCTATTTACTTGCTCGATTATCCAGGGTTTTAATGTCAAATATTTATTTTAAGCTCTCTCATTTATACTGCTTATTTAATATCAGTTCAACCTTTTGATGAAATTACTCTAATGAGCCAAGAAATATTGAATGAGGTTACAATTTTAATCTGTAGCTATCATTTATTAGTTTTTACAGAATATCTTGATGATGTAGATTTAAGATACATGTTTGGTTGGACCATGATCCTGACTACAGTAATTCATATATTAATAAATGCTTTTGTATTACTTAAGAGTACAATTAATAATCTAAAAGTAAAAATTAAGATACTTATGGATAAGTTACTGAAGAAAATTGATAAAAATAAACGTAACGATAATTATTAACTTGAAAAATCAACTACTAAATTCATTCATATATCTCCAAAAACAACAAATATAGAATTTGAAAAGGCTGTACTAATAGACCTATTTGAAGAAAGTATTTCTTAAACATGCATTTTATAAGATGCTGATGGAATACAATCAAAAATCAGCATAAAGATAACATAAGAATAGAATGATTAAAGTCCAAGGAAGAAAAATAAAACAAAGAAAAAGAAGAAGAGAAGAATATCTAAACTTAGTTAAAATCCTATGAGAAAATACTCTAATGCTAATGAAGAAACAAGAGATGAAATTCTTGAAAATTATATGAATGAGCAAGATGATTAAGAATATTAAAGTTATACACCATCTCTTGTAAAAATAAAGACAAAAATAATGATTGAAAGAGATTACTATATTATCAAATGAAATATCAATTCTTT